GTATTCAGCTTGAGTAAAAGAGAACAAAGAGGTCATCCTTCTAAGGTTAAAGGTAATAGGGCATTTTGTACCATAATCAGAGTGAAGTTTTATCTTTTAGTGTTTCTTCCATAACACACTTAACAAACTATATCTCATAAATAATTGTATTTCTATTATTGCTATTCACATTTCATCAGGATATAAGTAGCTTAACCCTATGTGCATGGCTAATGTACATGTCTTGTGATGTTGTGTTCAACCATTGTGCTGTGATTTGAGTCCTGTTGAACCATTGTACAATAATTTCTTGAGTCGTGGTCAACCACTGTGCAAAAATATATCAGCCATTATGCTTTAATATGTTGTTTAATATGCTCAACTGTTGTGCCATAATTTGTTGAGGCATTCTCGACCATTGTGCCATAATTTCTTGAATTGTGGTCAACCATTGTGCCATAATTTGTTGAGTTGTGTTCAATCTTTGTGCTATAATTTGTTGAGTTGTGTTCAATCTTTGTGCTATAATTTGTTGAGCTGTGTTCAACCATTGTGCTATAATTTGTTGAGTTGTGTTCAACCATTGTGCTATAATTTGTTGAGTTGTGTTCAACCATTGTTCAAAACTTTGTTCAGCTGTGTCTTTGTACGATAATTTGTTGAACCATTCTCAACCATTTTGCTATAATTTGTTGAGGCATTCTTAACCATTGTGCTATACTTTGTTGAGGCATTCTCGACCATTTTTATATAATTTGTTGAGGCATTCTCGACTATTTTGCTATAATTTGTTGAGGCATTCTTGACTATTTTGCTACAAAAACAAATTATATCAAAATGGTCGAGAATGCCCCAACAAATTATATCAAAATGGTCGAGAATACCTCAACAAATTATATCAAAATGGTCGAGAATACCTCAACAAATTATATCAAAATGGTCGAGAATGCCTCAACAAATTATATCAAAATGGTTAAGAATGCCTCAACAAATTGTAGCAGAATGGTTGAGAATGCCTAAACAAATTGTAGCAAAATGGTCGAGAATGCCTAAACAAATTGTAGCAAAATGGTCGAGAATGCCTAAACAAATTGTAGCAAAATAGTCGAGAATGCCTCAACAAATATATGTATATAGATTATTGCTATTTTGAAATAAGATCTTAAACTTATTTTTCTTCAAACATAGAACTGTAAATTAAAAATAAACAATTATCTCTTCTAGTTACAATCTTTGTACTTAGTTGCTGCTTGGCGTAGGTTGCTAAAAATTTTGCATGGGCAGGATATGAGGAGACTAAAGACATACCCTATCTCCTTGAAATATTGGTTCAAAAGAAATAAATGGTGTCCAAGCCCGTTAAAATGGCTGAGAAAGCCACTAGAGGGACATTCTGAGCTTCCAAATGGTTATTCATGTCATATATAGAAGTAAGTGTATACAAGGAAAGAGGTGGGTGGGGGTGCCACTGTGTTTGATTTATTACATGAGCAATATCATAGCAAAAAGAGATAATAAGAGGCTCTTATTTTATATTATAGCTTGTCAATATCGGTAATTTGAGTTTCTAATTCGTTTGAAACTACATACTTAGTATTTTGACTTCACAAACATCTAATTTGAACCAGAGCTGCATTCAACATAGCACATGACACCCAAATATTGATGTTTATCTGTGTTTTTAATATTTACTTTTAAAATAAGAAATTGAGTAATGTATATTACTAAAATTTGAATTATAATCTACAGTTTGATACTAAACTTATTGGTATAAATTCATGAAAGAATTTTGAATGCGAGTCAACAAACGAGATGACATGGCCTTTCACCCGCAAACAATCTCGAAAGGGTTAAATGTACTTCTAGTACCTTTTTCAACAAATTTCTTAAATGACTACAAAATTTGTTCATTAAAACCCTTTGTCCAACTTTGCTACATCCAGTTTTCCAAAAGATTTTAGGTAAATTAAGTAATAAATAGTATTTCATGCATCTTTTAATTGATTCTTACAAGCTAGCTTTCTTGCAAAAGGGTTAAAATATCCAATCCCATTTTCTTAACCCATTGACTGCAGCTGCTCTCATTGGATGCACAATGTTTGCGAGCTGTACACCATATATGACAAACTCGCATTCAACTGCTGGAGGCAGACTGTAGCAAATAAACTTTCAATGGGTTAAGACTGTCGCTGCAGCTTTTTTCAAACAAAAGTATAATTTCAAATTAACAAATTTATAAATGTGAGTTGTCCAACGAAGTTATTTTTTGCTTAATCATCTTTCTAGCTTTTCTCCTAGATCTATTTCACACAGATCGTTATTAATGTCACCCAAACCACTCTTGATATAACTAAATAAAGATATTAACTGACAAAACACCAGTGATTTCAAAGTTCCGTTTATTTCTTCCAGCTGATTATGCATTTTGATGTCTCAAGAAATTATAGCACAATGGTTGAGAATGCCTCAACAAATTATAGCAAAATGTTTGAGAATGCCTCAACAAATTATATCAAAATGGCCGAGAATGGCTCAACAAATTATAGCAAAATGTTTGAGAATGGCTCAACAAATTACAGCAAAATGGTTGAGAATGCCTCAACAATTTATATCAAAATGGCCGAGAATGCCTCGACTAGTATTTTGTAAAATACAGTCACATTTCAATTATTATACATTAGACTAAAACACAGCCAAGACAAATTACTTTGTACAGACCAAAGGTCATCTTTATGTTATTTGATACGGTAACATGAGCCGAATTGTTGTAACTTCTGTATTGTTAGCCAGGCACGGGTGAAAGGTCAATATAATAAAAATAATAATAAATATATATATAAATGTATAATGTTATGAGATTTAAGCTATTTCATCTAAACATCTATGTTTTCTTGTTATAATTTGTGTTTATTCTAGAATGAAAGATGCATAATTTATGTTTATTTCCTAATTTTTTATGGTGGTTGCGGGATTGGTCAAATTTACCGAACCCGTACAGAGATTAATTACTGGAAATAACAGATAAAATATTAAGTTTTTTCTTAAGAAATGTTTGATAACTATTTGGACATTATAAAGATTTTGCATGTGAAATTTTGAAATTTTCTGATGCATAAAAGTATTTTTAATGTTAAGATGAAAAATTACTTTGCATGATAGATATGCAAGATGTGAAAAGAAAAAAAAGGCATGAGAGAAACATTGCTTTACAAACCTTAAGACTTAATAAAAATATTATATATTTTACATATGAAAGCATTGTAATATTTACTGATAAACTGCCAAATTTCATTAACATTTGCTCACTAATTTAAAAGTTATAGCATGAAAACTATAACATGCACAAAATGGTTACGATGTCGATACCAGGGACTGAGCCCAGGTTGAAAGAGTTAAGGGAAAGATGAAACATGAAACTCAAGGAAATTGGTTCAAATGGAGGTAAAGTAAGGGACCTGAGCCAATACAGCATCCCGACCTATAAGGTGCCAACAACAAAGAAACCATGTATGTAACACCAGAGCTGAAGACAACATACAGGCTAAAGTGGAAGAAAGAAGGGCAAGGGTATCTCCAGAAAACCCCTCAGGATTTCTGTGGAGAGCCTCAGATAGGAGATGTGTGGAAGAAAGATACTGTAATAGATGTGTAAGTGTAAGATGCAAGCAAGAATATTTGACATGCGTGAGACTGACAGATGATTTGGGAGCTGCCCCCATATAGGCAATAAAGAACCTAACACCTGCTGGTCTAAAAATGGATAGTCAGCACGATTGTAGGAAAGTGCAAACTGATCTAAAGTTTGCAGAGGTCTTGGCATCCTAACCCCCTCACTTAATTGCAAGCCAAAATGATTAGCATGATCCCGCATATCAGGTGAGGGAGGAAAAACCAAAAAGGGTTGGGAAGATTGTTCATGTAGTAAGGAAAGATGAGATGCATAAGAAATAGGGAAAAGGGATAAAAGGTCACAAACTTGAGACACAATATCTAAAGATCACATTAGGCCTAGTAGACTCATCGGGTTAAGAATGGGAAGGAATGGCAAAATCTGGAGGTAGAAAAGACGATCAAAGTCCTCATCAGCCTGCACAGGATCACCCTGTTCTGGAGGAGACTGGTGCGATGTCCGGGGACAAAGGTTGTCCCATGTAACAATCAATCTCCTGGTGTATAAAAGCAGATAAATCCAACCCCCAAAGTAGTAACGGTAACTTCAGAATTCAATGCACAGAAGGGTTCATCAAATTCGAGTGCAGAAAATAAGGTGAGTAGAATTAACCAATAAATATTAATAAAAGAAACAGGCTGAATGAAAGTTAATTAATTTAAAAATGAGATTACTTCGTGACTAACAAAGTCGAATGTGAAGCATTAAATAAACAAAAGACCACATCTGAACACAAGCGCTGCCAAACTTCGAAGTGATAGTTCAGTAGAGGAGTGTAGACAGCATCACATGAGCATGTCATGCTCCTATTGGTGAGGAGGTAATGCATGATGATTTGCAATGAGAGACACATTGGAATCTTGTAATTCCAATAGGGGGGAGCAGAAGGCTTGTGGTAAGTACAGTATTGAAAAAAATATTTATTGTTCTTTTTAATAACTGATTTAGTTCATTGATATATTTATTATATTTACCATCTAATTTTCAAGTTACATACACACTATAGCAGTTTTTTTAAGGCAGAGCATATGAGGTGGTTCATGGGAAATTAATAAAAACATATTTATTTATTTTTTATTTTCATCTGAAATAACTTGGTGAGTTTTAATGGGACAAAACAGTGAAACAAGTAAACCAAAGAGCTACTTAAATACTTGATTTCAGTTCTAGATTCTTATACTAAAAGGATGTGATGGCTTAGAGAATCTAAATAATGAAAGAAGCAAATGAATAAGCCTGAATCAAACTAATCTGAATATTTAGTTTTAAGTTCTTACACTGACAGGACATGTGGGTTTAGAGAATCCTAAATAATGAAACACACAAATGAATAGGGCTGAATCAAACTGACCTGGATATTTAGTTCTAGATTTTTCCACTGACAGAACCTGGTATATTTTTCACTGAAAGGAATAAAAAAACAAAAAAACATTTAATTCTTATTTCACCACAAAACAACTGTTTGTACAATGTTTATAAACAAATAATATGCATAACCATACCTAACATATCGTATGATCAATACTGTTTTCTGAAACTGCTTTTAACTATGTTTATTCAAATGTGAAGGAAAACTGTTATAATGAAGATTTACTTTACTCAAACATGTTAGTTTTATACATTAAATTCAATAATTTCTTTCAATATAGTGCATGAAAGTTTTACCCATCCACAATGTTATCCTTACCTTTCTACAAATTTTCTAAATACGTCTCCACGTAGATGGCTAAAAACCTCTTCTATGTACGGCTATGGAAGACAAGAGAAGTATAATTTTTGAAAAACTAAACATAAGGACAAACTGATAAAACTATACGTGTTAAAATTACATAACTTGATCAAGACAGGGTGGAGTTTTGCAAATAAAAAATGGGATCCCCTGCCCTTACTTCAGTAAACTTTGATCACCAAACTTTCCTCCTCACCATTAAAGAAAAACAACTGCACATTACACTACAATAGATAGCATTTAGAAAAAAGGCCTAGATTACAATGAACTTAAAAATCGTTTTTTTTTATCTTTAAATTTGTTTCTCAAAAAATTGTAATCCTCTGATTACTTTTAATAGGTATGATGTTAATGGCTCATTACTTTATTAGCATACCAAATATTTTAATAACATCATTCTTTATAATCTGAGATTGAGTTTTTAAAAAATTTTTAATGTCATCAAAAGATAGACAGTAGCTTTTATATATTAGATATATGAAAATTTATGATATGTTAAGATTACATCTCCATCCCAAGGCCATGCATATAGCTCCAGCTATCCAACATAGTAATAAACAACTCTAGACAGCAGGAGTCCAGGGCCTCACTAACATAATTTTATTACCCAAACCTTGACCTATAACACCCCAGAAGAAATTGTTGAAGTATACCCAATTTATCTATTTCACAAAGTTGTTTTACTCAAGTGACTCTGTATTAAGTGGAAGATTTCACAAATCCACCAATATTTCATGTGTACTAAAACTTATCTTTCTAATTGCATCATATAACCTAAAAATTATGATTTAAGTGCCAAAAGAAGATGAAGCACCCAAAAACAATAGATCTAAGGTTTATGATAAAAATTCTATCACAAATCAATTTCAAGTACCATTATTAGTTATGCCTAATGGCAACAGATTTGAGGGAAGAAAAGAAAGAAAGATGTTTTTTCCAAAAAAATAATAATAAAACTGTAAAACTTCATGAAAACCTATTAAAAACATACAAATTATGGTCACTAACCCATAGCTTACATGTTTTTAAAAACTCATCAAGATCTTTGAAATGTCTACATCAAGCTAAGTATATGCATAAACTAAAATGTAAAATGATCTAAGAAAGTGGAATTCAAGCCAGCCTTGATGACTGTTTGAAGTAATATATACATACTTAAGACAACAATATCAGGTTATAGTTTTGCTGCTAAACGACACAGACGAATGGAGCATTACCAAAAACAAGTGGATTAGACGAATATTTTAAGCATTTTAATTAAAATCATATTACTTAAACAACTGAATAAGCAGAAACACATTTTTATTTTTGTGTACCTGAGAATGTTTTAGCATAAAATCAGAAGCCAGTGGTGAACATGAGGGCCATGAACAAGAACTAATTCCCATCATGTGTTAATGTCATGTAAGGGTAAAAAAAGTAACAGCTAAAAAGGTGTTGAAGCCATAAATTTAAATGCTGAAAAACAATGCATGTTTTAAAGCAAGCAAACCAATATTATGTAGTTTGCAGCAGCTTGAGGGTGAAGAATGACCTAAAGAGACATTAACAAACAAATTGGCAGAAGAAATATAAATGTAAAGAAACAAGAGCTTTCCAGACATCACAGCAGTTGTGTGACAAAAGGGAAGAGAGACCTACTATTAAACCACAAGTCACTTGAAAAGTATGGAAACATGCTGGCACTATTTACAATTGATAGAAGAACATAGTAGCTTTCACAAAATCTTATTACAGTAAGTAAGGAAAAGAAAGATTAGCATGAAATATAATATGGTTCAGAGATAGGTTATGATATCTTAAAAATTATTTCAGCATTTAAGAAATAAGATTTCAAGATAGGTTATGCCACCTATACCTTTTCACTTCCTTAAACAATTTGAACACAAAATTATGTTTAAGAGCATGAGACAAAAACATTAACAGTTACCCTGAAGCACTGATAAACTAAGCATTAACCAATGACAAGAATAGTCCACTTGTCAGTTTTCCTAATGAGCAAGTGAAAAAAAATAAAAAATTAATGCACCTGAATCATGTAATGTTAACTGCTCAAATTTAATCTTCCTGGAATCATATATTAAACTTGTTATCATAAATGCTCTTGAAAAAATTACTGCTTTCAAAAACTCAGAAGTTTCTGGTATATGACATAAGTCTCAAATTTAAATCCTTTGTGTTATGCTTACATCAATAACTAATCAATTCAGATTTACAATTCCTCTATCTATCTATATATATATATAAAAAATTCCCTTAGTGTAAGTATTATTCATTTATTTATTTTGTGGGTGAATATTTCATGGTTTAGTTTTTTTCATAACAAGAAAGTTAAAAGCAATTATTTTAAAGGAGATAGTTATGACAAGTTTGGTTACGTAACTCAGTAAGAGTTGTACATTGTGTTTGTAATTCCTTGATGTAGAGGCTATTGTATGTTGTGTTTGCAATTCATTGGTGTTGAGGATATAGAAAATTCTAGAGGCCTCAGTGATAAACATATAAATAGTGGAAACCAAATGAGCAGAAGAGGAGAAAATTAAAATCAAATGAAAGAGAAGTTCAGTAAGAGAAAAGTTAAAAAAATGTGAAGTTAGCCATCATGGGAGTGAATAACCTTAACAGTTGACATTTGAAAGTGAAATTAACAGTTTAATAGAGATAAGGAGAATAATCTGTCTTGTTAAAGTGTTCTAAACTAATTTAACCTGTCAGTGTGGACCTTTGACAGAAAGAAAACAATTATCAGAAGTTCAGGATACAACTATGGTAACCCATGAGGCAATGTAAGTAAATTATTCACCAATACTATTGTGATAAAAGTAGAGAAAAATAGTTTGGCTTGTCAACTGTATTTCGAAGCAATTAAATCAGCCTAAGTGGACTTTTGATAAGAAGAAGAGAACTTTATAGTGTATAAGATATAACTGTGATCTCCACAGTGTAAATAATTGTTTTACATATGTTCTACTTGTTTTGAATATAATTATTTTAAAACAAGTGTAGTGCATACTGTCTGTTTATTGTTTGATTTATCACCAACAAGTTACAGACACCTACTGTAGAAGAATCCTTAGCCCACACCCATATATACACACACATATATATATATATATATATATATATATACTTAAAACCCTGACATATACACTGTATTACAAAAGAATTTCAAAATCTAATTCACAAATTTTATTTATAAAATAAATATTGTACTCTGAAACCATATATATTTATTATAAACAAATATTAAAATTAATTTTAATGGGCTACTTTAATAAAAACCTATTGTTATACATAATCAAAGTAATTAGCAAAAAATAATGTACCCTGGCATGTTAACAATATTTTGATCTGAATTCTTTTAATGAAGAAAATTATTAATGCATATGATCTTAAATACTTCATTTTTTAAAGAAAATTAAGATAACAGGAAAATTATCTTTAATGCCCATTTTACTTGATATTGTCAGAAATGTCACATTATAAAACAGAGAATTAAAAAGAATCCAAGATTTCATTTTCTATCTTGGAATCAACAAGCCAACCATAACATGTTTGCTTCCACATAATAAATTAAGTATAAATAAAATTATACATTCAAAAGGTGCCAAGGAGCAGCCACAAACTCACATGACACAAGAGAAATTTGGCTTTGAAACATAATTGTCTGTGACCTACAGGTGTGTCACGAGGAGGTGGGGCACAAGGCAGCCAATGTGTTAAAGAAATTTTCTCTTGGATATTCTACATCTAAATATAATTATATACAAAGCTACAGGCACTGAGTATACCCTAAAAAAAGCACAATACAGTGTAAAACTATTTTTAAAAAACTATTAAAATCTGAGCTGTCACATTAAACTTGTTAACTTAACAATGCCAAAATTTTTTTTTTTGCTTATTGGCCTTTAAACTAAGCAACTTTACTACTGTATTACTTTTTAATATGTGTTAGGTAAGACTTGTAAACTTTACCTTTAAGTTAATAATTCATAAATTTATACAAATCTCTTCTTTGTAGAGAATAGTGTATTATAATCTCACAAAACTAAAAACTGTTTAGATTAATTCAATTTAAAGATGTCACATCTATATTCTTGAAAAAGTTCTCACCTGAAATAAATTAACGGGAACTTCATTTTTCATGAGGTATTTCTGGACATGACTAATAGCTTCTTTGGAGTAATTCTTCAAACAAATTGAATCGAGAAGTTAATATCAAAGTTTTTCATTCCCAAATATATGTATGTATAATATATAACAGTATAAATAAACAGATTTCTAAGACTATAATTCTAGGGAAAACTTGAATCAATAATTGTAGTATATTAAAAGTTGTTACAAATACCAAATTCTATGATTCATTACCCAAACACCAGTGTACACCTAAAAGTCTGGGGTGATATATCTGTTAAATGCACCAGCCTTTAAACTTCTTTTAAATCATACTTTACTGTTGTTGCACATTTTGAAGACAACATAAACATGACATTTATTATAATACTAGGTCACCCTTAAAGCAGATCCTAACGCTTACATGGGAATGAGACAAAAGCTCCTTCATGATAAAGTTATCATAGATCTTCCTTGCTGCATCCCTTCTTTCTTCTACTGTATCTAGCTTTTCATAGCTTTTAATCTAAAATAAAAAGTAACCACACATCAGTATTTAGTAGAAATGTATACGTGTTGCATATATTAAAAAACTGAAGTAACTATCAAAAATATCAGCAAAAAAAAACAAAAAACACAATTATTATAACAACATATATTAACATATTTCATGACTCAATCACATTTTATCAAATCTATAGTCATTATATACCTATTTTACCATAATGGATTCTTATTAAGAAGTTAGCACACAGGTTCACATACAAAAGTTGTATGGTTTTCAAACAAGACCCAAAACTCAAGCATTTTCTATTAGGAACTCAAGAGGAAAAGCAGAAGACTTTTGAAACGTCATCCTCTATACTTATGTTTCTACAACAGGCAGTTTCCATCTATTCAAATAAGTTTCATCATAAATACTCTGCCTAAACAATCTATCAAAGAACAGTTCACTATTCTTTGTCAAGAGAAGAATACTGAACTATCGAAAGCGCAAAAGTTTTGGGTCTCGTTTGAAAACCATTAGTATAATAGACATAGTATGTATATGTGTATCTATCTATGTATGTGACTATAATAATAAATACAATGTAGCCCCATCTATTGAATGGACCACAAACAAATATCCATAAAAAAAAATGTCATACTTTGGGTATTCAAGATTCAGACAATTAGAAAAATAACTACAGTATGTACAACAACCATTTCTTTATCACAGAATACAAGTTTAAATAAAAGAACTCTCCTCACAACAAGAACACGCCTTTCACTAGGACTGTACATGAGGGTTTGATTTTTTCTTTATTGGTGTTGTAAATATAGTATTAAAAAAATGGAGTTATTAAAAACTTATTTTTTCAATAAAGGGTACACTTTTAATATATAAAAACATTACAGGAGGTATGAATACTATGATTAGTAATTACTAGCATAAACAGCTGCCAATACTGCTAGTAAGAGTAATAGAAGGAAAATGTTAACTGCAAAAATGCTATTCACCTCTTCACAAAACAAACAGCTAGAATCCCACGATGATAAAATGGTGGATGGTCTGGGGTAGATAAAGAGATGACATCCTTCCTAAAATTATGACATCAGTAAGGAAAAAAACCCATGGAATGTGTCACCCACTAAGGCAAGGGTTAGTCTAGTGAGGTACCACTCAGTGGTAGAGTGCATCCTTCTCATGCAGGGAGTCTCTTTGTCCAATAAATGTTGTTAAGCAAACTATACTCTAAAAAGAATCTTCTGCATGGTGCCAAAGTGTTGTAGAAGTAGGCAATATAGAAGTTTGTTCAACTAGCCATTTTACCTTTGGTAGTTGGCATAGCACATATGTGTAGTTTGACTAGAGCAATAACCATAGCTGTACAGTACTACAGAAATATTTACCAGACCTACATTCCATCAAGAACATGATACCCATCTGGTTAGCATAATCACCAGGAATTGTCTGGTTCTCAGGGTAGGGAGTGCCCTGTACTACATTTGTAGGTAAACACTCCAGTTCTACCTCCGATCAATGGGTGCATCCACTCAGTCTCATACCAATGAGATTACAACAACCCAAAAAGAAAATCTTGATAGTGACCTCTCTGGTTTGGTCCTGCTTTTTTTTTCCTGTAGTTTGAGTTGGAAGGATATATATATATACATACACACACACACACACTGCAGTGGGCACTGAGCAGGGGTAAATGGGCTTAACACTTTCTGTTATCTCCATTCGATATAGATTCCAAGAGAGAGAAGTGGGTTCCACTGTCTCCATACTATAAATATATAATAACAGAAATGGTAAGAAGTAGAAGAGGAGGATAGGTATATACAAAGCAATTGAACCACTCCTGACTCAGAGCATCCACTGCTAGAGTCTGGTGTTAGAGTCCAAAAAAGTAGTATCTAGGTGTTGAGGAAAGTTGAAAAGGCAGCGATGATAGGACCCCCAAAGTGTTAGCAAATCCACTAACAACAACAGAGGATAGAGAAACCACTCTGTGAGAAAGATCTCATATAGTCAAGATAGTGGATCCACCACCAGGACCTCAGCTCCTGAAACAATATAGACCAGTAATCAAACATAATGATCGTGGGCTAAAAAAAAGCAAGGAAAACAGAGGCCCAGGAGTGTCTTCTTTCAGTGTATTAAAGAAATGAAAAAGGGCATGTCTGAATTGATCATGATAAGAAGACCAGACAGGCAAACCACAATATGATGGCAAGCTTGCTGAGCAGCCAACATTTGAGGACATTAATATAGAGAATGGAACTGGGTCAGGTGTCCAGTACTGCACCCCACCTAAAGAGAGGCATCAGTTGACAGGTTTAACTTGTAGGTTTGGCTGTTGTCAACCACAAACTATATAATGTTTCACCTACACTACATCCACCACAGGTATGGAAATGCAAATATTTGATCATTATTAGCCTCCAGACTTAATACTGAGCTACTGGAGTCACTGAACAAATGTAAGTCCAGGTGAGGCAGGGGATAGGGGGATGCCCAAAGTTGTTTGGTCTTGAGTGAGCCACCACAACAGTAAAAGGTAAAAACAAAGAAGGGAGACATGCACGAGAAGATAGTGGATCTCTGGATAGATTTTCATTGGTCAGCCAAAATCCACTGAAGGGGACATGCACAACTGAGAAGAACAAGGGATTCAAAAGAATAAAAAGAGCCCCCCCCCCTCCAAAAAGAAATCAAATCCTCTCATGCATTACAATAAGGAGGCACAAGTACCTTAGTATCAGAAGCTTCATGCTTTGAAGGTATAAAGGTAAAGGCTGAGCCTAACTGCATATGAATTGAGAAAGACTCACAAGTGAATGAGCTACTGGATAGGAGTCAAGAATGACTTGGAGAGCTGAACCAGCCAACCTAGAGAAGATGGGACATCACAATTGCATTCTGTGTTGGATGGGGCAGGAAGAAACCAAAAATATCCACAAAGTAGTGGAATAATCAGTCTAAGGAATGTAATTCCAAGCAAAAGTTCAATGAACCCAACTGAAACATACAAGGCTGTAGCCAATCCAAAAGGAAGAGCTGTGAATGAAATGTTTGACTGCTGTGGATAAACCAATGTAGGCCAAAGGCTAATGAACAAATTGGGATGTGGAGAAAATATCTGAAACAGTAATCCTGGTCTTCTACATCCCTGGAGAGTACCAACCAACCTCAGAGTAAGAAAATCATCCATCTTGAACTGAGGAATGAACAAAGTTGGTTCAAGTTGAACAACTCTATGACAGATCGATAATATCCCATTTTCATAGGAATAGAAAAAAATGGGAGTAGAACCCTACAGTGGGGTCAAGAAATTGTCCCATGGGAATATAATCATCATAACATACTGATTACATTTGTTCTCAATACTGTGAATTTTTCATACATGACTCAGGCTATACTCCAGGATCATGGATGGGAACACCTCTACATAATCTCACTGCCCATGTAGAGAAAAGATATATATAATGCTTAAGTTAGCTTATTCAACAGTAAAAAGATAGTTAGGAATACCCAAATTGAGATTCGGATATTTACATAAATCTAAGGTTCTGACACTTTTGAAATTTTAAGATCAATTAGTTGTTTTTCATGAAATTGAATCAAGTAATTTATTGACCATTTTGATTTCAACATTAGAAAACATGACAAAAGTACAGAATAGTCAAAACTACAAAGTAGAGACAATCTATTGAATATATTGTACCCTATTCTAGAAACATGTGTGCATGAATTTGTTCGTGATTTAGCAGGTCAATTTGTGTTGTAATTATGTGAACAACTGTTAAAAATGCAATCCAGCATATACGACTTACACTTGTCATAAGTCATGTGATACATAAGTATTACCATAATTACTCAATATAACTGGATATATAATCATTTAAAGGTTTGTTTGTGTGTTCAGGGATAAACTTTCACATTCAAACAAAATATTTCTTTCTATTTAGGAGTAGAAATTATTACAGATTTTACGATTTTTAAAATATAACTCGAATGGAAATCAAATCAGATCTGATTATCTGAGTAATCATCACAGCTCTATGCAACTCTGATGGATGACCAACTCTATAGTCCTGTCAAAGTGTGCCACATAATTGTACAATATATGTACTGAGTAAAGGCTTCCAGTACTATAAGCAGATTTGCTGCTTAACCCTGAAAACAACAAAGAATTATGCATACAACCTGCACGTTTAAGAATTTGAATTCAATTTATACTTGATTTTTGCATGGTTTATGCAATATTCTTGAGAGCCTTGAGAAAGTGACTTTACCATTATATAAAATAAAACTCTAGCTTAGTTTTTACATACAGTATTCATACTAAGTTGACTGTATTACTATGCATAAACTTTTGCAAGTTCAAAAACATTAGTTTCCCTCAGTGCCACTTCAGCAATGCACCTTCCAAGTAGCCCACAATAAAAGTTCATTTATGCAAAATATTAGATGCTTTTTTTCTCAATGAAAAATCCCAAAAAACTTATATATCAAAACAAAACATTTATTAAATGAAATAGTCTCGATTCTTATCGATGATGCTTTTCCATCTTAAAGTCAGGTTGTTAATGCCCTGATTATAGAAATCATTTGGCTCTAAAGCAAAAAATATGTCGATGTCCTCTTTAACACCTTCTACATTTGCATAAGTTTTCCCATTAAGATGGTGTTGCAGGGAATGAAAAAGATAGTAATCTGATGGTGCCATATCTGGGGAATATGGTGGGTGAGGGAGAACTTCCCAATCCAAATCCATAATCTTGTGTTGCATCAAACGTGCCACATGTGGACATGCATTGTCGTTGAGAAGAAGAACACCTTTCCGACTGACGAGTGAAGGGCATTTCTGATGAAGGGCTTGATTTAAATGTTCCAGTTGCTGATTGTAGATCTCTACATTCACAGTTCGCTGTGGATTGAGGAGTTCGAAATGAATTACTCCATTGATTTTCCACCAAATGCAAAGCATCACTCTCTGCAGATGGAGTCCAGGTTTTGGGGTCGGAAGTGGTTTTTGTCTAGGACTGAGCCATTGTTTTTGGCATCTAATATTTGCTTAGAGAATCCATTTTTCCTCACTGGTGACAATTCTGTCCAAAAATGGTTCATGCACATTATGCGCCTGAAGAGACAAAGCAACGTTCACGCGTTGGAAACGATGATCATCGGAAAGTTCGTGAGGCACCCAAGCGCCTTCTTTATGGAGTTTTCCCATATTCCTTAAATGTTTATG